AATGCCCCTGTTTTTTTTTTTTTTTTTGTGGTTTTACATATATAACACCTAAAATTATTGAAAAAATATATATTTAACACCTAAACTTCTATATTTACAAATATACCGCATAAAACTCATCTTTTAATCAATTCTAACATTCCGTTTAAACCTTCCGTCAAAAATCACTATCAACGACTGTCTTCCCCATCAATGACATCCTTTCACGGTGAATATAAGTATCTCATTGCTTCAATGGAGTGATAGAATAGAAGGAAAAAAGAGATTTTAGATGGTATATTAGTAAATATAAAAGTTTAGGAGTTAAATATGTATTTTCAATAGTTTTAGATCTTATGTATGCAAAAATCCTTTTTTTTCATGTAAATATATTTAAAACATGGAAAAAAAATGCAATCAATATAATTTTATTTGTTTGCCTATCAAGAAATTAAGAAAAAAAAATAAAACTCACATAAATATTAAATTGATAAGCAATCATTTCCTTACTAACCTCTTAATATCCCATATATAAACTATAGCTTATTTAAATTTGATATATTTCAAACTATATAACATGGAATGATGATAGAATTTGTCATCCTATCATTTATTATGCTTTATGATACACTCATATAAATTATCATACCCATATCATGCCATTAATGTATAAAATAATCATTATTTTTGAATATAATTTTCATAAGTTATTGAATCATAATATATGTATTAAATGATAAGTATTTATTTTTCAAGCTGACTATCATACATGTGCGGTAAATATCATATTGGTTCTTTTATTCGTTATTTTTTTTGGGGCAAGTTATGTGGTTCAAGCGCGAGCAACAGTGTAGAATTCTCGTCCATCGACTGATGAGCCATAACGAAGATCCATTTATTCTTTATGTTATTATATGGCTATATAAGCTCAAGATTGAAATCATGGCTTAGTAAGCTTGACTCGGGAGCTTGTTAATGAGTCAAGCTCAAGCTGACTCACGAACTAACTTAATTCACTTGTGCCCCAGATTAGAGCAAATAAATAATAAAATTATATATATATATAAGAATCAAAACATTTTTACCTTTTTAGACTGTAAATAATATTTATATAACATATGGCAAGCCATTTTTTATTTTATTAGACAACACATGAAAATTTTTTTTTAGAAGAAAGCAAATTTATAGAAATGATAGAGGGGGCAATGAAAAGGCTTTAAGAACGAAGATGACGAGATGATGTTTTGAGGAGTTTGATTGGGTGTGACAAAATAAATGCTAAAGATTCATTTATTTATTATTATTATTTTTTATAGCCAATTCATATGTTAAATCTGATTTGTCATTTTTTTAAATGAAATATCGTATAAATTAATTTTTGTGGCAGTTGCAAAAAAGGGGCATGTAGGGTGGGGTAGGTTAGGAGAAATTATTACGAGCAGAGTCTAAATGAAAAAAGTGATTCCGATTTGCTGAATATTTATTGATTATTTGTAAATAATCAACAAATATTTAACAAATACTCCGTAAATACTCAAAGCTGGGCATTTACAAATACTCAGTAAATACTCATCAAATCGGAACGATTTTCCTTGTCTGATCTCCGCATGTAATAATTTGAGGCAGGGTAGAGGATTTGAGCCTCAAAATTGACCCAACTCTAATCAAACATGTTTAATAAACACTTAAAAAACTCCGACTCGAATGACCTAGACTGAACTCATTAACCTGTTTAGGTTTATAACTTAGATTTTTTTTATAACTTTAGGATATTTTATTAAAAAAAAATTACACCCCCAAGTAAAAAAAAACCAATATTAAACTAATCATTTTCAAATAAAAAATAAATTGAGCCCAACCCGTTTAATAAACAGATAAAAAACTTTAACCAACCCATTTATTAAATAAGTCAATCCAAACCCGAATTTTTTAGGTCAGAATTGAAATTGATTCAAGTTTATTTAAAAAAAAAAAAACACCCTAAACAGTAAACCCTAAAAAAAAAAAAATCAAAACCGGCCCTAAAAAAAAATTCAAAACCGGCCCGATGTTATCATACAGATTATCGTTTGCATAATATTTGACCTAAAGACCTTGCAGCAAATGCAGCTGTACTACACTAATTACAATAAGAAGATAAAGATGATGAATATCAATGAATCATGAAGAACAGATTCACAGCCCTACTTCATACAAAATAGAAGCCCAGTCAAATAATTCCTTAGTCAAATTAACAGATCAAAGCTTGCTACATAGATCAGGATCTCACCTCATATTCTCCTGCTTTAGTAGTAGCTCTGAAACCCTTGTAGAGACGAGCTGGCAAGTTCTTAATCTCCAGCTTATTTATCTGCAAGCCAGAGAGAGCCACACCAACAATTTTGAATCCCACACGAAAAACAGGGAACACATGCAATCGATCCAAGCCTGGCTCAAGAATAAGATTGCCTGAAAGATTTGGTGATTTATCCTTTGGAATTCTCCCAATGGACCAAAAGCAGGTCTGCATGTTGCAAATCATATTAGAGAGAATATAAATAAGAATAGCAAAAACTCATTTATAGTTGCAGTTAAGAGTGTAAATGAGTGGAGCGGGGCAGAAGCCTCTGCCCCCTAACTCGAGCTTGAGCTTGGCATTGTGCCTGACTGATTAATCAAGTTCAAATTTGAGCTTGAGCTCAATTCTATGAGTTCAAGTGGCTTATGAGATAACTCGTTTACTATACAACAACAACAACAACAACAACATCAAGCCTTTGTCCCACTGCGTGGAGTCGGCTACATGATTCTTTTTCTCCATTGTGTCCTGTTAAAAGTCAATTTCTCGTTTCAATCTAATAAAGAAAGATCAGTTCTAATATTTTTTAACCAAGTCTTTTTAGGTCTACCTCTACCTTTCTTAACATAAGCAAAATTTAATACCTCTATTTTTCTAATCGGGTCATCGGAAGGCTGTCATTTTATTTGACCAAACCATCTAGGCAACTCTCTCTAATCTTATCTACCACTGGAGCTAATCTTATCTAAGATAACTCATTTATTATGAGAGAAAAAAAAAGAGAGAGAAGGTGATTCCATTTAAATAGTTGTAATACAATGATTAAAATATAAGAAATTATAGAAAAAAAATAATAAGAAATCATATGTGATAAGTAATATATATAAATATAATTTTAATAATTTCATAATTAAACAAATTTGTTATTTTTAAACGATGGGCGAGTTGAGTCAAACATGGCTCAATATTGACCGGTTAACTCATTGAGCTTGGCTTATGAGTCGATTATCAAGTTGAGCTTGAGCAAAGTAACAAGTCGGCTTAACTCAATTACACCTCTACTGACAATGGATAGAAAAGAAATTTAAGAAATTGATATGATAATGGTGAGATCATTTGCAAACCTTATCAGCAAGGACATTTACTGTTCCATGGTTTGAGGAAACATCCACAGATTCCACACAGGAAGGGAGCTGAAACTGTACTGTTATGTTCTCGATAACTTTACCAGGATCATTGCGTATTCCCACTAACACACTAACTCGACAATGGCCAGAACTTGAAGAAAGCTGAGGTTTCACGTAGATTGGTATGTTTTTCAGCTTCTTGACCCTGAGCACTAGCATCAATTCATTTTGTATGATGGAGAAAGAACAAGAAAGAGGGAAAAACAAGCTTACATGGAGAATGTTTTACCAACCTGTAGCTTGCAAGTTTGAATTCTCCATCAGGAGGCACAAACGAGAGAATCTGTTCACCTTCCCATGGTCGAAACCGAACGCATGGATGAAACCTCACATCATTTAATATGCTAGGATTTGCAAATGATAGTGTCAGGTCAGGAAGACCAGGTAGGTGTGAATTAACGTGAACTTCGCCATATACTTCGCATTTCACCAGAACCCCTTCTCTGAAGAAGATAAATCAAGCACTTAACTCCTCATGACCTAGTGATTATCAGGAAAACCATAAAGCAAGGAAAGGAAAAATAATGGCACTTCATCAAAAAAATTACTCCAGGAATGACCATAACCATAATTTCGGAAGTTGTAGTAAAAAACTAACAACAGACTTGCTTAGAAAAAGGATCCAGCAACAAAGCAGTAAGAACTTGGCTTGAACTTTGAAAGCAATATAAAATTTTAGATATTACATGCTCATGTGGAACAGCAAATCAAACAGCAAAGCAATAAAATATTTTATCTACTTTTCTAACGGCTCATTACCTCTCAAAAGCCTCCAACATAAAAAAGAAACTGTAATAGGTATGATTTTGAGCCATAACACATATATCAAAGGATGAAAGGCTCTGTCTCAGTTTATTCCGAAGCAAATTTAGTATTTAAAGAAGAATCGGTACTTGACCATTTGGTAGGGAAGCAATTAACTTACTCTTCATTCCAAACACTACCCAGAAAAAATTCACAAACCTTAGTGAATTATGCATCATGGATGCTTAACAAAGCATACAGCACGTACGTACGTTCTGGACTCCCAAAATGTATCCGTTCTGGACTCTTCTTGAGCAAAAGCTAATTTTATCAGAGGATATAAAAAATGGTCTCAAACAACGTACGGTTTACTGCTTTATTGTATTTTCTTTCAGGAATCTAATTCTTAAACGTTATATTTGAACCATTTTGAGAAAAGTTATCTCCAAGTTCAAGCGTGAAGCTTGTCTATCATTTAATTCTTTCCCTCATCTCTAATTTCCCCCTTTTCTCCCTTTTTAATATTCGTTGAGAGCGCCATTGATTTCTTCTAGATTTTTCTTAGTACGTTATAGTCTGGCCTCTTTTTTATGCACAAAATCTCAAACTCAAGTATGACTTTCATGATCTTTAACTTCCCACCGATTAGTTTATATCAAAAGGCTCAGATCATACCATTGGAAATAGACTATCTAAGTATCTATTTTCTATTTTCATAGTGTTCGGAATTAACAGCTTCCTTTCTCATTAAATTTGCACATTCCTTTCATAAATTGATTGCATCAACTCTGCATTTCATGATAGATCTACATTAGGTATCCTAAAACCTAGAACATTCTACAGCAGTTTCTCATGCGCAATGCAACTTGTAATAACCGGTTTAACTGGACGGTTCAATTGAACCGGCCGGCCAACCCTTTTAATTTCGTGAAACAGAAGGGGCGGTTTTGCGAACAGAATGGAAGGGCGGAACAGTGCAGGCAGAACAAAACTCCTGCGAGGAGGAATTTGGAGATCTGTTTTGCCACTTTTAGCAATCAATCGTGTTGGAGGATAAGAATCTTCAACTCCTTATTGCTAAAGAAGCGGAGATTTGGGAGGAAACGACGATAAACTAGAAGAATGACTGAGAGGAAGAAAGAAAGAGGTTTGCTAAATTTTTCTTTCCTTTTCGTATAAATTATCTTGTTTTATTTCATCTAAAACTAGAGATACTTTTCATAGAGGAGAAGAAAGGAATTGAAGGCAAGGGGAAGGAATTTGGGAAAGAAGAAGGAATTAGACTTTGGAAATTCCTTCTTAAGGAAAGGTAAGTGATCAGTTTAAGAGTATGTTTCAATTCTTGTTCTTTTATTGATAAATAATGAGAAATATATTTTAAATTAGATTGGAAGAATGCAAGTGATATAGACCTTGGTTGGCGCTGGAGGAAGGAAGATTTGTCAGAAAGAAAGGAAATCTTGTGGAGTAAGGTTTGTATAAGAAAACAAATGCCTATTGATTCATTTAATTGATATTTCATATTAATTAAATTGTTCTATTCTTGTGAACAGTAAACGGCTTTCAAAACTGCACAAATATTGGAAGAAGAAATAAAGTGGATATTTTCATAATTTTATTTATTGTATTTTTTTCTATAAAATTTAAGAAGAAGAATGTTACATAAACATTTAAGAATCATGAATTGTTTTTATAATTACTACTTATGAAATAAGAAATGTATATACAAGTATCATATATGTAAAAGAAATTGTATATAAAAAAATGCATATAAGGAAAATATCAAGGATATAAAGCCTTTATACATGTATTGATATAGATATGTGAATCAAAAGTAGATATATGAATGAATGACATACAAGTAAATGAAAGAAAAAGAAAATAAAAATGAAAGGGAAAAAGATATGCATGCAAACTAAAGGAGTTCACCCCCGTATGATACTGGTTGGGGAAGCAAGGTAGAGTGTGCAAAACCAGTCTTCCTCATAGAAGAAGTGATGAGGTCATCGACAAGAGATTTCGGCGCGTCTATCAGAGACGACATCGGAGGTCGATGGCCATGATGGAGAGCCTCCACTATTGATTTTATTTACACTAGCATTTTATGTATTATGCACATTTATTTTTCTGTATTCCCATTTTACCCTTGAGGGTATTAGTTTGCTTTTGTAGCCCGGAGAGCATTTTAGACTTTTTTTGTATTTGTGTAATGTGGAGCCTATTTAAATGGCTCTTGTTTATTGTATGAGGATTATTGATTGATTAATAGAAAATTTTCTTTGGTTTGTTCTCTTTGTGAGTTCAAGAATATCTCTTGGTGAGTTCTTCACATGAGATCTCTTTGTAAGTTCTCCTAGTTTGTGCAACCAAGGATCTTTCCATCATCATCTCTCGCCATCGCCCACCCCAACATATTGGAAGCAGCCGACCCCTTTCCCCTCTCCACCCTAGCTGTCCCCCTTGAGCTCCACACACCAGTCGGCCATCCCAAAGCCCCCCACCGGCCGGCCACCTTGCCGCCGGCTTCCCCTCCACCACCCTTCCACCACCACATATTTCCAACGCATTCTCGTTGAAATTTGATTTTCAAATTTCAAATTATTTCCAAATTTGGACAATCCATTTTAGGAAAGTTTTAATTTTTGAAATCAATTTCACATCCATGAAATTAGATTCATGAAATAATAATTTCCTAGTCATCCTCCTAATTTGGAATCCTCCACCTCATCCCTAATCCTCCTCTCCCCTCATTGATGCCGCCGGCCCCCTTTATTGGGCCCCCTCTTAATTGCACAATTAATCCCTAATCCTATTTTGAAATTCAACTCCTAATTTCAAAATAATTCCCTCCGGTTTTACTTAAAACTGAAATTATTTCAGTTTTAAATTCAAACCCTCCCCCTCTAATCAAGCCGCCGGCTCCTATGAGCCTCCCCATTGGGAAAGTTTTAATCCCCTCCTTAATTTGGGGATTTCAAAATTAAATCTCAAATTTTCCCTCCCAAATTCCCTAAACTGAAATCAATTTCAGTTTTCTAACACTTAATCCCCTTTTACTCCTAAACCTACCGCCGGCCTCCTCCCTCAACATCCCGCCGGCCTCCCCTCTCCCCTTTTGGAGAATTCTTGGTGGCGACCACCCATTCTCCCCTCAATGATGCATGGAGGAACCCGAGTGGAATTTCGGGTTTGAGTACGAGAATCAAGGAAGAGTCAACATCCTCAGATCTCCCTTCTTCGACGTTGGCTTTGACTTCGACGACACCGTCGAAGAATATTTGGATCGGATACTTCCAACACTTGTGGATTCCATTGACGACCACTTCTCCGTCTACACGTGGATCATAAAAGGGCGTCGTCACGTGCCACCTCCACCTCCGCGCTCCTTTCCAACAACGACATTACTTGGTTCCTCCATCCTCGTGGAGACCTCAATACTAGTTTGGACGATCTTCCGCCACTCAACCTAGTTTCGTAGGAACGAGAGAAGATGCCTCAAGGTGAACAGCTCACTATTAATTGTTGGATTCCATGTGCTAGTTTTTAACTTTACTGTTTTCCTTTGCATTGGCTTAAATCGCCCGGTTACCTTTTTATTGTAATTCTTTTGCCTAAACAAAGTAGATATCTACGAATTCTTATATCCAATTTGGAATTGAAGCATGATATTATGAATGGTTGAGCTTTAATTAATTTTCTTTTCTTTAATCTAGTGTAACTCAACTCATGCATCACATCAAGAAGTTGTAGTGCCGGATCGGTTGAGCAGAGCAGACGAATTAATGTTCCTCACAGAAGTCAGAGCACGATCAAACAGAGCGGGAAAAACACAAACGAGTCGGAGAAAATAGAAATTAGGACTTCTATATAATTGGTGGGATACCAAGCCAACTGCTCTAATTTCGGGAATCAGAGGAGGCCCCTGTCCCATGCGCGCGGTCGAGTGGAGCAGGAGAACTACGAATGAGTCTTCCCTCACATAAGAAGTTGGAGCACGATCAAGCGGAACAAGCGAATCGTGAACGAGTCAAAGAAAATAGAAATTAGGCCTTCTATATAATTTGCGGGAGATCAAAATGGCAGGAGACCAAGCCAGTTGCAATAATTTTTGGGAATCCATGAGGGCACGTGCCCCCATGCCCCTGCCCCACGCACGCGGTCGAACAAAGTAGGCGAACTGCAGACGAGTCTTCCCTCACAAAAGAAGTCAGAGCACGATTGAGTGGAGCAAGCAAACTGCGAACAATTCAGAGAAAATAGAAATTATGGCTTTTATATAATTGGTGGCAGACCTAGTCAATTGCTCTAATTTCGGGAATCGGGATGGGAGTGGGGCACGTGAACACCTCCTCCCCCAAATTCCCGAAAATTAAATGTCTAGTAATATGAGATTAAATTGAGACCACTGAATTAGGAATCAATGTCTAGTAATATGAGATTAAAATAAATAAATAACATAATATTTATACCAATGAATATCAACATCACTAGACTTGTCCCAGCAATTTGAAGATGCTGAGGAAATATATCTAGCATCCAGAAATTGTGAATGGCAAACATACTAGTATTATGGATGAAATTGCCAAATCAGAAAAGGGAAATATGACAAAATACTAGAACACTCTGATCACCAGCTCAGTTACCAACACATGAAAAATATTAGAATGCACAAAACCAAATAATCTATGAATCATCCTATATATGCAGAGCGATTTTTTTTACCATCACCTGCTCAGAATTGCATCCAATTCCTCAATGAGATCAACATAAACTTCATTGCTTGAACTCTTTAGGTCAGACTTTCGCCATGGAACAGGTGAGGCTGTTGCATCTGGAAGTATGTTGCTTACATTGGAACTCTTACCAGTCACAACACTTAAAACTTTGCTAACAATATTTGGTGGGGCTATCATCTCCCTCAATATGTTTGGTACTGTTGTGAGAGGAAAACCATTGTCCATCATTTCATCCAAAAGCTGAAAGTTCGGAAATACATATTTGAATGTTCAGATGGCTCTGAATCATGAAGACGAAATTCTAAAAAACAGGACATTAAATTTCTCAGTATTTAAACCTTTTTACTCAATTAACAAAGTAGTATATATTTTTCATGTTCAACAAAGCATACAGCAAAAAACTTATAGAACCAATGGTTGAGGTTACAAATGGTTTAAATTCTATAGTTTTTTTCAAGAGTCTGTGAAGGTGTTGTCAGGCTGTGCCTCTGAGAGTACTCATACCATTTAATACTAGCAGTGAATATATCAAACTAACTTCTTGGTGATAGCTTTAAATAATATAAAAATTTCTCGAGTTTGCAGACTTCATTTTTATTCAGTGGTCTCAAAATCAGGTGGCATAATCATATAGACTTCATCTTCAAGATTCTAATTTAGAAAGTCATTTTTGACATCTAGTTGATGAAGGGTCCAATCTCAGTTGGTGGCAAAAGAAAGAATATAACCTACAGTAAATAAATCATAGCAATTTGTGCAAATGCTTCTTGATAATCAATTTCATATATTTGAGTAAAACCCTTCACAACTAGTCTAGCTTTATACCTTTCAACGATTGCATCAACCTTGCATTTGGTATTGAAATTCATTTACATAGCTTTATACCCATGGCGCATAGCGCACGGCGCGGCGCGTGCCATTTTGAACATGGCGCAAACTATATAAAAATTATAAAATAATAAGCATGAATATGAAATATTATTAAAAATGAAAGGCAACCATAACATATATAAGTTTGACTAAGTAACATCAAAATATCTCATAATTCAAATATTACAAACTTTTTTTTTTAAAGATCAAATAAAAATTTAATCTACTCTTCTTGGGAGTCATCATCATCAGCAAATGTTAAAAAAGCTTCATTATCTTCATCAACATAATATGCGGGCTGCCGGGGTCTAAGGGGGCGCTGCCCCCTGGCGGGGTTCGACCTGCCCGGTCAGGTCGTGGGGTCAAGGGGCAGCGCCCTTGCGAGGGTTTCCGGGGGCAGCGCCCCCGGAACAAAATTTATTTGTAAGGGTAATTTTGAAGTTCGTTAGTATGGAAAGATACCGAGCGGTACTGGGTGTGTACCTAGTTGTACCGAGCGGTACCGAAAGTGGTACCGAGCATTTACATAGCGGTACCGAGCGGTATCGAGCATGTACCTAGCGGTACCGAGCGTGTACCTAGCGGTACCGAGCGTATACCGCGCGGTACCGAGCATTTACATAGCGGTACCGAGCAGTATCGAGCATGTACTTAGCGGTACCGAGCGTGTACCTAGTGGTACCGTGCATGTACCTAGTGGTACCGAGCAAGTACATAGCGGTACCGAGCGGTATCCAGCATATATATAGCGGTACTGAGCATTTACTTAGCGGTACCGAGCATGTAGCCATGTACCTAGCGATACCGAGCATAGTCGTTTATCTTAAAATATAGATATATTTTTAAATATAAAAAAATATTCATAAGTATACTGAAATTTAAAAATAATTTGACGTGCTATTTTGCGTCGTGCGCAATGCGCCATAGCTCACATATGGCGCAAATAGCGCGCCTTATTTTAAACACATGCGCCTCGCCATGAACATGGCGCCGTAGGTGCGCCGTGCGCCATGGCGCGCGCTATTTTGCGCCATTGACAACTTTTAGGCAAGTTTACCTTTTACCCTATTAAGTAAACATTTATCTATTATCCAAACACTAAAAGAACTTTTAAAAAATGCATAAAAATCACCTAGATTCTTCTTGATGCAATGAATGTGTCATTCCACCCCTCAAAGGTGGAATATCAACTTCATTGGATCTTAGGACACGATAAGTAACATGTTTGCATCAAAACAAGCATTGGTTGCACTGAGTTTTTTACAACACTCTAAATATGAAATCATAAAAGTCAAATAAAATGTTTAAGTCACAAATAACTTAAAGTGAAACCATTTTTGAATTAAAAACTAAATTTCTTTCTATTTCACAACTGAAACAAAATACTCATTCATAGTGTGACATACCACACAAGCCAGCATACAATTAAATGCACAAATCCTAGGCATCACAAGATCAGGATTTTTTTTTTGCATATGGTTGAATGAGAGTGTGTGTGTAAATATATATGCTATTTTATAAAGGTGGTCATGTCCCCTATCAATAGGGGGTAATAATTCAATCATAATTATCTAATACTGTTTGCTTGCATGTGTTGCATAACCCCTCCCCCCACCCCCAAAAAGGCATGACAATAGAGTATAAGCTAGGCTTGGCACTTTCAGTGCTAGGTATGTTGAATCCTGTTTTGTTTGGTGGATGATATCGGGCCATACTTCGTGCTACGTGTGAACTAAGGGCCTTTGGGGAGAATGTAATGAGGTTTGAGTATGAGAGGAGAAGAAGGAAGGTGAGCCCGAGATAGATATGAATTTAGACAAAATCTTTATTATCTAAGTAAGATATACAAAAGTAATCAAAGTGAGAGCTCTACACTATGGAGCTTGAGCGGAAAAGGAAAAATGATACAATATTTTGGGGATCCAATCATGCATTTTCAGGTGTGATCTCCCTTGATTTTTTTTTTACATCGAACTTGAAAAAATGGACAACAATCTCTCTCATTCTTCTCCCTATTGTTCTTTGTTCTTTTGAATGTGTAGGAGGAAAATCCTTTTCTTTCTTCATCCCTCCTCCCCCTTTTATATGGTTTAGAAGGATGTAGAAATTATGTCTTGGATATGGGAACTATTCTATCAATCTTTTATTGTAAGTCACCTGTTGGTGCCGAATAGAATGACAATTGAGAAGGGCGAGCCGAGTATGGTCAGGTAATGATCTAGGGTCGCTTGCTGCATGAGGAAGGATGAGTGGCGTCTGGATGTAGTCTTCGACTTGACGTGAGAGAGATCGTTAAAGAGGCGATTAGTGTTGTTGGTTGTTTGATATATCTCACATGGAAGACTTAATTCTGACTTAGATGGATAAAGATTTGTTTGACTAAGAGAGAATTTTGAGGTTGCTCTCGTCCAATGGGCCGGCACTAGTTCGTCGTGCTCTAGTGTTAGGCTCCTTCCAGCTTCTGAGCGAGTCCCTCAAATGAACTATTCCGAGAGAGAGAAGTGAGTCCTCCTTCCGCTCTACCTGAACATAACTTGCAAGACACTTGCAAACAGGTACCTGCACAGGTAGCCATATAATACAACTATATTAGTGATGAACCAAAAGATGCCCTGAATGCATCAAAAGCCATAGTTTGAAGACCCACAAGCCGAACCTGTAAATTGTAATAGGGGTGCATAAGACAAACAACTCATTTGTCATTTCATTACGATAATTTGGCCTATATACTTTACTTTATTATGGTTGATTTTATACATGCACATAATATGGCACATGTTCAGGCCACTCAAGCAAAACAAGTAAAGAAATCTAGAAATAAATATGCATTTCTAATGCACACTTAAGTAATAAAAAAAATCAATCAGAGGACAACATTGATTTTCAGCATTTGCATACTCATATGATCATACATAGCCTAGTAAGTCACATGTAAAAGCCCACACATAAAAACTAGATAAAAAAATGCACGGTAAGTCGACGCATTTGCATGCTCATATGATTAGGCATCTTGGCTTAAATGACCAAATTATAAGCATTATCTTCATAATTAAAAACAATTTTACCTATCTTAGATATGTATTAAGACCATGCTTTATAATTTTAAAAGCGCTTGGGTGAATTAGCTGACAGTCCTTTCCAAGTAAGATTGTAAATCCATAATCAGGCTAGCTTAACACCTAGTGGAGTTTTAAGTTTGTAAATCCCTTGCATTTAGCTAGATATGGGTTGAAATTACTATCTACCAGTAGTTCTCACCTTAGATCTAGAGTTCGAGTATGATGTTCATTTTAGTTACATCATAAGCATCATCTTCCTAGGCATTTCTTCCAACCCATGATGTTGGAATATAAACCCCAATTTTTTAAACCAAGTTGATCACTTAAACCTAAATCTAATTTTTAAATGTAAAGTCCAATATATAATAGTTTGAATACCTCTAAGTTTATCAGAATCTCGTACTCCTACCTCTTCCTCCTTTGTCTTCTATTTCAAAATTAATTTCAAGTTGAACTGATCTCCCTTGGAATTCTTGAAGATCAAATCTTTGACAAGAATTTCTTAAAAGTAAATTATAAAAATTGTTGGTCAATATTTTGATGAAATAATATAAATTATTTTTTAATTAAAAGTGTTCTTAAGTGACAAATGTTTATGATATAACTAACCATAAGAGCTTTCCCTTATAGGGATCGGGGAACCTATACCTCAAAATAAAATAAACTCAGCTCGATTCAATACATTAAGTAGAGGAAAATCTTTGATAAAATAAAAAAAAATGTAAATTTTGTTATTAAGTCCATAGTGAAATAATATTTTTTATCTTTCGAGATAATATATTATTTTCTATGTAGTACTCGATTACAAAATATTCCCGTTTGTTGAGGATGACGAATTCCACCAACAGAGAATAATTATTTTGTGGCATCTCAAAAAATTTTAGCAGTCTAATAAAACATGACATTTTCACCAATTTTATTTTTAATTGTGTTAAATAAACTAATACATTACAATAATGTTTTTTGTGTATCTCCATATTTTAAAAATTGGGTCTTCTTTTTGAGGAAGAATGGTAGAACTAGTGAAGTAATCATCTTTCTCTTCACCACTAATGAACAATCATAAATGACTGGGTCCATATGAGGTATTTTTGCTCATTCAACTTGTGCCTAATAACCAGAGGATTTGATAAGCTTTGATACTACCGAGGTTACCATGAGTAATAGATTCAAGCTATGTTGCACCGATACGGATACGGGACACGCCAATTCTTAAAAATACAGGATACGGATACGGCGCGGATACGACATTATAATATATAAATAATATATAAAAATTAAGAAAGTAATCAAAGTATAATATTTGAAATGACAAAAAAATTGAAATAAAAGTAAGCATTAAACATTTAAATGTCTAGTACATCAACAAAAACAAGAAGATAAATTGTACAGCACATGAAATTTCAACTATTCAATAGAAGGAATGATAGGATTAGCTTCTTCAGTGGTTTGTCTTTGAGTTTCTATATCATCTTCAATAAATATCATAGCTTCTAATTCAGGCTCATCAAGTGAAAGATTAGCAATTTCTAATATTCTCATATCCTCAAGAGATTCAAATCCATCTCCATCAACATCCCACATCATGTTGTCTCCTTCCATATAAGTTGGAGTTTTCCTTGAGAGAAGCCGAAGGTTTGTATGCTCAGCTTCACTGATTTTTCTTTGTAATTCAGATTAGTATCCGTATCCGACACGTGTCCGATACAGCACGCCTCGTAAATAGGAGTATCCGTGCAACATAGGATTCAAGGTTGGAGATGACGTTGGAAAAGTTCCTATTGAAAGCCATTCCATGAAGGATGCACTAGGAGAGTAAATAAGAATCAAGAGGAATAGAAAAGCCAAAATAATGGGGCTAATATCATATTAAAAAATATAAAAAAAAAGTAATTAAGTAAGAGACTCTATTTTCTTATTCAAATGAAAAGTATCAAGTGCAGTTTATATTAAGAATACAAGAACACAAGGAAAGGCGACTAAATAAAAAATAAAAGAGAAATAGGAAACACATTGTTGTCCATTTTATGGAAGTCAAGTAACAAGGAATTTAGGAACTTGTGGTTGGTCTTCCTAGCTGCACTGGACGGCGAGCTGTGGTTGATCCACGTATGGACAACAATTGGAATTTCAAAAATCAAGGGCCAAATTTAGTGCAGGTTTGATGTCCACGTCCAATGCAGATTCAAGAATTAATTCTTGATTGCCAACAACTATATATTTTCCTTCTTGATTGATGTTTTCCCTTCACATTCTTCCAAAATTGGTTGTTGATTTCTAGTAGCCATAACTCCTTTCAATTTTGAAGCAAGATTGTTATCCCTCGCCTGATTTTGGCTTGAACTTTTATAATGTATATACTAACAAAATTGTAGATGCTCCAAAAGCAAATTGAGAGTTAATAAATAACATGATGCAGGACTAAGCAGAATAAGTCATGCAAATAGAGATTTAAGCTAAGAGAATATCAAAGACAGCAACATAAACTTCATAAAACATTATGAACAATAAGAAAATTTGAGCTATTAGATCATGTGATAGTAAAAGAAACTAATAAGCAAAGGCTAAACAATAACAAAGGTGAATCAGTTTAGACTAGCTTACATGGGTTGGCACAAGTCTAACATTTAATTAAGGGACCAGTCACCAGAGTTTCTGTTTGCTCAAATTTAAGTAGAACTTGGTGGATTAATCAACACATATGAGATGATGCTACTATAGATGAAATGAGAAAACCCATATTTAGTTAGATGAAGACAAGGGGGAGTTTGATACTTAGCTCATAAATGGGAAGAATAGAATCCTTGATGAAGTTACGGCTAGTTCCTCCTTGGCTTGCCCTTGAAACCCTTGCTCTTTGTTGAATCAATGTCCTTGTTGCATTAGTAGAAGCTAAGTTTCCTTGGAGAGGTAAAATAGTGAGGGAAAAGAAAGTTTCAGCTATATGAGGATTTGGAAGTGGAAAGCTCTCGGTTTTGGGGTTTGGAAGGGTGAACTAGGCCGATAGCATGGGGAGGAGGGGAGAGATGATTTGGCTGATTTTAATGGCTTGAAAAGGGAGAATTCAACTTGGGAAGTGAAAAGGTGGGGGTTGGCTACTTGGGGAAGAGAAATGGCTGACGTGGTTTGCTTGGGAAAGGAAAAAGTCAGCTTGGGAGGTGAAGAGGTGGGGCTGGTTGCTTGGGGAAGAGAGAGGGCAGATGTGGCTTTCTTGGGAAGGGAAGTAGTTGGCTTGGGAAAGGGAAAAGTTAGCTTAAGAGGTGAAGATGTGGGGTTGGTTGCTTGAGAAGAGAGAGGGCTGATGTGGCTTCCTTGGGAAGGGAAAAAGTTAAAGTGGTTGTGGATCTCCAAATGTCACAATTAATTGAGATAAATGCTCAATTAATGTGAATTAATTGCATAATTTGGGAAGCCCAAGGGTCAACGGTGTTGGGGAGAAGGTGGAGGCGAATAGAGAGGAAGGGAGGGAGGTGGTTGCTAGTTGAGGGCAGTAGGTTGTTGTAGCTGGGGGTGTTGTTTGGGCGGCTAGGGAAGAAGAAAAAAAAATTATGGAGGGAAAATGATATCAACCAAGAGCCCGCACACTGTTGGGTATTTCTTTGCCTTTCTCCAAAAGACTTCACACACAAACTCAACTCACAAACAGAAGAAAAAGTATATAACCAGAATTTTATATCAAAATATTCATCATCCATACAAAAGAACAATGAGTCATATATATAGGCACAAAAAATATGAAAGGATAAAAGACAAGAAGGTCCTTGGTCAAACAACATAAACGCTCCCTCAAGTGAGGATAAAATTGAAATAAAATAAATAACACCACATAAATCTCCTACAACACATGAAAAATAAAAATATAAAGACTCAATCAAGGTCGTAGATCTCCGGCCTCTACGGTGATAAATCCTCCAAGCTCTGATGTCCCCATCATAACATGAAATGAAATTAACAAAAATAAATAAATAAATATATGAGCACAAGTAAGAAGTATAGAGCCATTTAAGGATCTGAAAACCAGTGGCAGTAAAGAGCCATTTAAGGGTATCAGTTGACCTAATTGAAGCTGCAGGCTACCAATGCAAAGTGGTGGAGCTACAGGAATTTGTCTTGCATCAAGAAACATGCCCAAATTAGTTTCAAATCAATTTTTTCGGCTGCAAGATAGTACCTTGATCCAAGAAAAAACATCAAATTAGGTTCTCAGCAGTCTTCTCATTTGACAGCATTTCTCGAAGAATAATTGATCCACCAAGTTTTCTTTAAATTAAATTGCAGGATTGCTGGAATTTCTAGCAAGCCTGAATATCAAGATTCAAGAGAAAAGCAGCAGCTTAGACTGAGCATTGGGAGACAATCTTCTGGGTTTTAGCATCCAAGGAATTAGGAAAAACTGAATCGTAATTTTTTCCCGAACAACTTGTAGTTTGTTTCCAGCCTCCTTGCAGTCCACGGCCAATGCAGGAATCTTCGGGAGCTGTCAATACTTAACAGGGATGACTAAAAAGGCTTAATGGGGGTTACCCATTGAATGAAGGAGGTCGGAGAGCAGGTGCAGAGTAGTTGAAGATCATCCCAGCAGCAAACAGAGGAAGAGTGTTCGCATATCCAGAACAGGGAAAAGCTATTTTTTGCACTTCATACCTTCCAAACTACAACAAGGAAGGTGGACCAGCAATTGAAAAACAATTTATTCCGAGCAGGGATTTCCTTACAGTAGTGATTCTTGTCAGGAAAAGGTTCTTCTGTTTGTTCTATTTTTTCTAAAGCAAGTACTTGTAATCGTTTCTTGCTTAACTCTCATAGAGTTCATGATAATATCCATTCTTCTAAAAGTTTACTAGCCTTTTTTAATCACTACCCATCTTAGTTAAACCTATATCGAAAGTAATAAAGGAATATGCATTCATAACATCAAATCAACATTTCTTCATACGGAAAAGCATGAGATCAAGCGATAAAAAAAAAACTACAAATTTCATGAAAGAGATACAATTGTAGATATCTCATAAGTTCAATCTTCTGTACAGTGTTATATAGTGTTAGCCAACTCGTAGATACGGCACCTTGAAAATAAAATTAAAATATAATAAAGCCAAAAAAACTGTTGAATGAATGAATTTTTGTATAATAGGATGGTTTAATTTATTATTAAAAGTCAAGATAATAATAAAAAGGAGAAACGAAATAGTTCATCTTAAATTAGTTGGGGGAAATACCTCATAAACAATTATGAAATTATCTTTTATCAAGTCCTCATTTAATCCTCCAAGGTAGCCAGTCAAAACATCAGCCACTCTACAGAGAAACTACACCACCAAGAATAACAGAGAGTTAGAATATAAATACCATCAAATTTGTTGTTGTTGTTGTTGTTGTTGTTGTTGTTGTTGTTGTTGTTGTTGTTGTTGTTGTTGTTGTTGTTGTTGTTGTTGTTGTTGTTGTTGTTGTTGTTGTTGTTGTTGTTGTTGGAGATGAATGATACTGAGGCCTTCAAAATTAAAGTTGTTCCATTTATTAACTTAAGCTGCATGATAAATGAAACCACCAAAACAAGAATGCATGACATTGAATCCTCCAAGATATACAACACAATAACATCAAGCCTTTGTCACGCTTCGTGGGGTCGGCTACATGAATCCTTTTTCACCATTGTATCTTGTTAAAAGTCAAATTCACGTTTAAATCTAATAAAGAAATATCATTTCTAATATTTTCTAACCAAGCCATTTTAGGTCTACATCTACATTTCTTAACATAAGTCAAATCTAATACCTCTATTTTCCCAACCGAGTCATCAGAAGGCCACCGTTTTATGTGACCAAACCATCTAAGGTGACTCTCTCTAATCTTATTTTCCAGTGGAGCTACTCCAACCTTTTCACACATATATGCTCATTTCATATCCTATCTCTAAGGCTAAAGCCATTAAATCCAAGTTATAGAACCTATAAAATTCTGAGGTTTATTCAAACTTATCACAACTATTCAAAGTTAGCTTTGTACGGCTATGATGATACATGCCAGAGAAAATTTAAGAACTTGCCTTCTCTGCTCCCCTTTCAAATTTCAACTGAAATAATACACGAAAAATCTATACCCTAACATCATTATTTGAGCAAATAAAAGGTATCATTCCATGCAACAACAAGCAACAAGACAACAAACCTCGATTCCCATCAGAGGAGGCATCTCCACCTGCGTGCAAGCCAAGAAAGTTATCCCCTCCCGGAATATTTGGAATATATAATGCGTCGGAGACGCAATTACCGGCAATATCTGAAAATTTTTCCCACCAAAAGACAACAAAAGGAATGATTTGCGAGTTGCAAAATACTTTTCTGCAAAACATCGAATCGTATGGAAAAACCCTAGCAATCAAAAAACCTTGGTCGAATCCCCTCCTTGGGAAATAACGTAGTCCCGATTATTCTGGTGCCGTGAGCACATTTAGCACATTTAGCTTAGCTATTAATTATTCAGCGAATTTCTGGTGCCGTGAGCACAAGGGAGACATAAGGGTCAGAATCCGTAGTGATTCTGTTTAGTTTAGCTTAGCTATTAATTAAATATCTGATATCCGCTATTATCTGATTCTGATTTCTGTATCTGTTCTGTTGATACGAAATGTCCAAAAAAAAAAATAGAGATGAAAAACATCTCAGAAAGAGAAGACTAAACACAACTCTCCTTGGCCTATTGGTTGAGAGCTTTGGCTTCCAACTAAGAGGTTCAGGGTTCGAGTCTATGTGTATGCGTTGTGTGTGTGAGTTTGCCTTAAATGACCTAAATGTCCCAAAAAAAAAAAAAAAAAAAAAAAAAAAAGAGAAGACTAACTTTAAAGAACCACTGCTCCGCCACATTTGGAAATGAAGCCAGCTCATGATTATACGAAATATTCAATTTGTTTTTAAGAAGGCATACTTGATACTTCTCAATGGCTTCATTAGTAACACCAATGTATCACTTATGCTAAGATTGTTGAGCATGAGATGTAAATTATTAGTGATATGCATTACTTCGAGGGAGATTTGATTGGGGCAATTTTTAATTGTTAAGTGTCTTAATATTTTTTAAGTGTTGTGACAAATATTTTCGGACTTCTCGAGCTTCGACGTCCGAAAATAGGGGGGCAACGGATACGTACTCCAAAAATTATATTGATCGGGCACAAATCTCGAGGTAAAAGCTAGTTGGAAACTTCAAAAATTAATTTTGGGAGCACCCAAACTCCGATTTTAGCGAGCTGACAGTCAAACTGAGCGTCTCGGAAATACGAACCCAACGACACCAAATTCAACTCAATTCGAGTCCAAATGAGTCCGAATCAAGGACCCGATGCGCTGTTGGAAGGTTCAAACCACAATTTGAGTTACCAAACGGTCTCCGATTTTGACGAGCTTACACTTGAATCGAACGGATCGACGAGACGAATCCAACGAGCCCAAGATCTCTGAATTACGGCATCATTAAGGCCTCCAAATGTCCAACGAACGGTGCACGATCAAAGGGTTCAATATCGGCCGTCCATTCAAACCACTCCCTATTCGCCCGTGATCTCACACATATTTACAAGCCATGCCTCTCCAGAAAAACTATAAATAGAGGCCTCATTCTACACAAAGGGGACTCAAGTGAAGAGAGAGAAGAAGAAGAGGAGAAAGGGGAAAAGGAGAATCCTCTCCTCCTCGACCACCGTCGGAGTTCGTCCTGCCTCCCCCGAACACGTCGGGATTTTGCGTGATATTCGGGAGAACGCAGAAATTCTGCCCAACTTCCACGTGATGCTGAAATTCTTTTCAATTTACAACAGAGTTCCCTCCTAACGCCGAAACTCCGCCCAAGTGAAGCCGAAACTCTCCTCTACCACCAACAGACGTCGGACTTCTACTCGGCGTCGGACCTTCACTCTTCGCCAAGTTTCTACCCAACGCCGGACTTCTACCGGTTATTGGACTTCGCTGGACGTCTATGCAAAGATGCATTTCTTTCAATTGTTGGACTTCTACCCGACGCTATCCTTCTGATCTTCGTCGTCAGACTACAGTCCTTCCGACCTCTGTCGCCTGTCGACTACGGTCCTCCTGACCTATGTCGCCTGCCGACTACAGTCTTTCCGACCTCCGTCGCCCGCCGACTACGGTCCTCCTAGCTTACGTCGCTCGTCGACTACAGTCCTTCCGACCTCCATCGTCAGCTGACTACGGTCCTCCTGACTTCCGTCGCCCGCCGACTACAGCCATTTCAACGAAGCGAATACGTCAATAGTAACTCTTTATATTTATATCATGTAATGTACTATATAAGATGTGCATCAAGCTAAGGCCTTCTCCCAAGGAAGGGTCTCATTTGTAATCGACTGCAAATATTAGTGGATTCGTTCAAACTGGGCTAGGTCCCGTGGGTTTTCCCCCTTTTTCAGGGGTTCTCCACGTAAAAATCTTGGTGTTTCATAAATGCTAGACCATCTCTCCTTATCTGATTGCGTGCCGGATTTTCGTACAACGCTAAGACGATAAATATGATATTTCTCTACCGCCCTGAATACTCCTTGACACAACAATATATATCTTTCAAATTAAAATTTTAATCATATGTTTTTTATTAGCATTATTAGGATATAGAGTTCAATTTTGTAAAGTCAAAGGGCTTAAATTGAGATCAATTTTATATTACAATTATAACATTAAAGATTATTTTGAATCCATTTTGTTTGTTGATGGATTAAATTTTATGATACATTGCAACCAAATGTGTTATACACAAATAATTTAAAAAATTTCTCATAAAAACATTATATTTATGTAAAAAAAAATTCAATACTTTTAAAATTCATCGTAATTAAAATTTGATCGGTTAATTTTCTTCTACGGTAATAAAGTAACGGGACTCAAAAGAATATTTCAAATTTTAAAATTTTCCAAACCCTCTCGCTTCATTCCGACCTTATAGGGTTTTTCCAAGTCGATAAATTATGCGTTGCTGTTCGACTTAGCTCCTTCTTCGAAGACGTTTCTTTCCTGGCGGATCGGAAGTTACGATATTTTGATCGGGAGCAATGACGGGAGCTCGCTCGCTGTGAAGGTAACTTTCTTTAGGGTCTCCCTTTGGCGCGTTTCTTCGGCCAAATCCCGTAAATCCGCCCAATTACAGGATTTAGGGCAAAAAGAGGGAAACAGAGGATTTATTTCGCCGTGAGATTTACGGGACGCTCAAATCCTGCATAAATCCTGTTGCCAAACAGCCCCTAAATCCTGCTCAAATCCTGCATCCAAACAGCCCCTGAAGATGCCTAGGGGTAGAAAGAAGAAGAAGGTTGGCTCCGAGCCTCCCCGGAAGCCTGTCTTCACTTCTCGTGATGATGGGGACGCCGCCCATAACTTTCACGATCGGCAGATAGCTTTCAACCACCGCGAAGGTATGATTTTTGTACTGATGTGCTCATCCTTATTACGCAGCATTTGATTGTGTTCTACAGCGCATTTTCCAGTTCAAATCTTTCCTTTTGGTACCATTTGGAAGGGATGTCTTGGATGAATTGTGAGAAATAAGGTTTAGTTGAAACCAGAAGAGTAGTCTCGAAAACATTTGATACAGATTGTTTGAGAGAAAAAAGTCGATGAGTTCTTTGATTTTTTGAACTGCTCTCTGTACATAAGCAGCCAAGAAAATGTTTGGGATGCCTTGGATGAATTGTGAGAAATAAGGTTTAGTTGAAGCCAGAAGAGTAGTCTCGAAAACATTTGATCCAGATTGTTTTAGAGAAAAAAGTCGATTAGTTCTTTGATTTTTTGAACTGCTCTCACATAAGCAGCCAAGAAAATGTTTGAATTAGGCCGAGAGTGTCGTTCTCAGAAGAGTATTCCAATGCTAAACTTAGTTTGTTAGGTGGAAATGTAGAATGACTTAGTTTGGAGAGGGTATGATTTCTTTATTGTCTTCTGTAGGCTGAATTTAGTGAATGGATGTGGTCTGCAGGATTTAAGCGAAGCATTTTGCTCCTTCAAATTTAGCCTAAGGAAGGGAGAGGAAGAAAATCTTAACCTCTTTCTGACTTGGCCCCACATGGGCAAACCATCTGCTTTAAGGGTGGGCAAGTTTGTTGTATAAATAAATTAATGTTTAATAAAATAAAATAAAAATGCATAATTTAGAGCAAAGTATTATATTGAAGGTCGAAGTCTTAAGTTAGCTAGAAAACTATCAATATCAATCTCAACTCGTTCATTCCTTTTCAAGTATCAATCCATTTTATAATCTCGAAACACAAAAAAAACAAGGAATTATGAACAATTTTTATCAATCATGGAAAAAAAAATGGAACCTAGAGCAAAATTAAATGTCCTACCTCAAGCAACCAATGAGTTCTTAAAATAAATTTTAATAGAATTATAGATCTCCAAAGATCACGAATGTATAATAAAATATTTATGTTTCAATTTTTAAACAAATACGGGAAAGTCAATCATCACTAAGTACTATATGAAAAATTCAAACTTTTTTATTATTTAAATAATTGGTTCTTTGATATAATGATTGATTAATAAAATTAGTTATCTATAAAGAAATAAAAGTAAAAAAGAAAAACTAATAGGAGAAAAAAAGTTGTAAAATATGTGGTGTTTCTCTACCATTACCTGTTTATTTTTTTAATTTCTCTATGGTTGCTTTTTTCTCATCGCCATTTCTTCTTCTTCATATTTATTCTTCATTTCTTCTTCAACTTCACGTGTAGCAGGCTCTGAAAGAGTCGCTAAAAAAACCTCTTTGCTTCCTTCTACAATGTTGTTCCAATTGGATTTGAAGTCACTTCGGAGCTCACCGTGAAATTAACTATCATTGCCCCGCTTTTCGCTTGCTTCTTCGACTAAATCTTGTAAAAGCATTGTCGTTTATGTCCAGAAGATGGGAGGGTGGCAGAGGCAGCGAATTTCTTGACTTTCAAGGAAGAGGGGAGCAAACGAAGTTCTTGAACCAAGGCTAGAGATGCTTTTTAGTTATTATTATTTTTTGACTAAATATGGGGAAAAAATTTAGGAGGTAAAGTTATCTTAGTGTCCCTTCTAATTTAATTAAATTACAATTTTGAGGGTGAGCAATTTCTCACCCTCAATTAGGCGTGGTTCTGCCTCTGCCTGGCCGTTATATATTTTATGTTTTTAACCAATGGGCTGACTTAATTATTAAAATATTCCCATTCCCAGTTGATAGAACCATCAGAGCAGTCTTGGCCTTTTCTTAGTTGGATATTAATTTGTTCTGAATTTTGAAGATCTCAGAAAAATAAAAGAAGCATAATACTAAGTTTAGTGTTGCAGAGATGAGGATGCTCATGTGGATGAGTGGTTTTACCCTTAGAGATAGGATACAAAATGAGCATATGCGTGAAAAGGTTGGAGTAGCGCCAGTGGAAGATAAGATTGGAGAGAGTCGCCTGAGATGGTTTGGTCAAATAAAATGGCGGCCTTCCGATGACCCAGTTAGGAAAGTAGAGGTATTAGATTTGACTTATGTTAAGAAAGGTAGAGGTAGATCTAAAAAAACTTGGTTAGAAAATAGTAGAAATGATCTTTCTTTGTTTGATTTAAACAAGAATTTGACTTTTAATAGGACACAATAAAGAAAAATGATTCATGTAGCTGAGCCCACGTAGTGGGACAAAGGCTTGATCTTATTGTTGTTGGTGTAGGAAAATAAGGATCAATTTTTGGCTTTGGTTGAGCTGAAATAGAAATCAACAAGCTGATGCTTTTGCATTTTTAAATTAGTTAGTTGGGCATGGCTCAAATCAAGAAAGCCTCGAACCAAACTGTAGTTAGTCATGACTTGATTTAAATTGATTTGAGACGATCTTGAACCTTTGATTAACTTTAATTATTCCCAGCCATCTTTATTGGTTGCTCTGTATAGAGAGGATTTCTACAAATGACGGTTCACCTTTTATTATTGATTTGTTGAGAAAATTGTTGTCAACATCCTGCTTTGGAAACATATAGAGCTAGAACAAACACTGTATCTATCACATACAAGTCTTCCTTCATCGTGAGTACTAGGATGCTTAAGAACTCAGCTAGTCAGCTGCTATGGAAACTAGGATAAAGCCTCCATTGATGGTAATATTTTTGACACCAACAATACTCCCCTTTTGCACATTAGAGATAGTTTAGACTCCTTCATATGTTTTAGGAGTTTTAGTATGTTGTCATATGAAGAACATGGTAGGACTTCATCTATTGGGTAGTAGACTTCACGAATGCATCCTCTATCTTTTCTTTCAGTTGATTGATCTCCTTGTTACGCCAACAAAGCTTTTGTTCAAGCCATTGAAGGACGGAGTTTAAGTTTTAATACCACAAAGAACTTAGCTTTCCTTTATGCAAATTTGATGACAATGTTGAATTTTTAATTTTCTTTTGTTTAACATGCTCCAAAGTCCAAACTAAAGAAACCTCTTGAGTATTATCTTTTTGACTAATCACTATTTTCCCCACAAACATAATTTAGTCTATAGGTTCAATAATAATGATATCTTCCAACTTGCGAAAACTTATTATAACTTGGCCAATTGTAGATGTAAGGATTGATACATAGAATATTTATGTCTAAGTTAAGAGAATACGAAAGTTTTCTTTCATTTCTCAATTTACAAGGCTTAGTAAAAATGATTATGATATTTCAAGGAAATACATTTAACCAATTGGAGCAAAGAGTGAAAGATTGTTTTTATATTTATGCTTCATCAAACTCTAGGCTGTAAGTGAAGCTTGGATGAAAGGTTGGCCTTCACTATAGAACTTGGTTGGGAGATAAAGTAGATGTGATTTTTTGTTAGAAGATTGGTTCTTTTATTGGATGATATTATGATAGGAAATACTTGAGTTCACAAGTAACCCTAAGGGAAATACTTGAGTTCGCAAGCAAACCTATCACTAATTGGTGAAAACAACGAGAATAATGCAAAATTCTGGGTGAAATCAGCCCCAAAACGATGGATTGCAATAAGGGAATCAAAGCCAAACAAACACAAAGCAAGATACAAGCGATCCTCAATTGGAGAGGAGGATCGTTCTCTCCCAATCTCCATACAAGGAATCTAGAGCCCAAGATGCCAAGGAACTACAAGAGAAAACAAATCAAAGCATGCCCTAAGCCTCGCCTCTCATGCTATTTAATCCCAACTACTCAAAACATGCTTCCTAATACAAACTTCCTAAATTCAATTAATTCCTAATTCATTATTTCCTAATATAAAACTTCCTTATACATAATACCTTAATTCAAACAATAGCCTTCTTTGCTTTTGTTGCCCCCTCTCTCTCTCCTCTTGCAGCCCTAGAGGGTCCCACTTGAATTCAAAGGAGGCGGTTTAGCCCGCCTCCTGTAGACCTTGGCCGGCTGGGTTGGTTCCTGTGGAACTGTATCATATTCATGGAGAATATTATTTATGTTATAAGTAAATGCTCCTTTCCATTATGAATAACAATTACATGGCCAAACTTCTTTTCACTCATGGGATATGGGATTTTTTGGGGGCGGGGTGGGTTCCTCACAACTCTTTTATTGAATCTCTCTCTTTTTTTGTTATTATAAAAAATGGAAAGAATTGTTGCCTAGCATTAACCATGCTCAATATCAAAAGATCATTCATCATAATAGAACCAATAATTCACTTTCCCAAATTCACAACTTTTTATTAAAGATTGCCCATATAAGGAATGAAGCCATGCTTGTTCCAAACAAGGTTACTTCCTCTTTTTTCAACCTTATTTGTTGATTTCTAGGGCCTCTAAACTCAAGGAATGATTTATGTCATTACATAATTAAGTTATAGGGCAAATCAAAATAACTATAAAAAATAGAATTTGAGACTCTTCAACCATTCTTAATTCTCTTTCTCTCTCCTTGTCACAGCCCGAACTGATATAACCCACAGACGGATAGGTCATACTGCATTGAATTGTGACAGGCCAGACCCAAGATCTAAGTTTCAGAAAATTCTTTTCACGTTTCTTTATTTCAAAATATAAAATAGATAACATAGCTTCTAAATAACTTTTAGAAAGCAACGAATAAGCTCATCCACACGTTTTTATTATTTTCATTCATTATAAAAATGTATTTACAACATTTACAATATGGTGTATAGTTACAAACCTAATCAAAACAAATAATAAAATAACTATTCATGACGGTATAAAAAAAATTATCTCTACATACTAAGATAAAAACCTGAACACTTAGCTAGTCAACTACCTTTTTCTCCTTTTCCTGACCTGAAATAAAAAACAGAGTATGTGTGAGCCAACACAGCTCACTGATAGAAAATACTTGAGTTCGCAAGTAATCCTAAGGTAATACTTGAGTTCGCAAGCAATCCTAACCCAAATTGATAAGCAAACAACAAAGAAACGGCTGTTT